CTCGGTCATTTTTCAAGCTTTCCTCGCCAACACAATCTCTTTAAGACGTGAATGTCCTGGTGTGGCTGCTCTACCGGAGCCGTAGAAATCAAGGAGGTAGAACAATCTCTCAAAAGATTGCAGCATCTTGTTTCTCTCTTCGCATTCCTTATTGCCACGGGTATTGCGCACCATTTATATTATCAGTATCTTGGAAATCACGACCTTTTTGATGGAGTTCTTACTTTGGTGGTTACTTTTTTCGAAGATTATTCAATAAATTTTGTTCGGTATTCTAGAAACTGACTTGTATTCCTGCGCTTTCTGAGTGGCTGTTTGATGATAAATTTTTGACTTGCAAATTGACAAATTTGAACAGTTCCGTAGAGAAAAGCACTGGTAAATGTGTCAGGAGGGATGCTTAGATTCAGAATCCCAAGATAAGTTACAAAGACTTGCATGGAAAGGTCACAGCATACATGAAGTGACACTAGCATGCTGCATGAGCTTTTTCCGCTCATCCCTTTTACAGCTGAGTCGCTCATCCCTCACATTGAGAGGGTCTAGCTGGCTTTTCAAAAAGTTAAGACCATCAGTGCATGTTGCAATGAAATAGTGCCTTCTGGAGGGGTCACCTTTGTAAAGGAACTTTACTGCAGAATCTGAATCTAACAGATGGCAGGCCCTGCGTACTCAGCTCTTTATGTATAACCTTAACCCACGTGGCTCAATACAGCTTCTCTAGAAGAGTTAAAGCGTGTCATCAGACCAGACCAAACCTTTTTGCCTTCGAACGCTCCAACCTGACTAGAATGCAGTAGAAGCATCCTATATTTCTTCAAGTGTAGTTTTCAAAGTTTGAGGGTCCTGATACCATAGCAGAACTCGCTTCCGGGTCAGGTTAAGGCATTTGACATTCCTGATTGGTAAACTAACTGAAATTACATAAAAGCACTTCTGAGTGCAAAAAGTATGTACTCAGCAATGTTGAATTCCTCAGAAAAGCGATTAGACTGCTCTACTCCCTTCCTTTGCTTCCACACCAAATGCCCTTCGAACTGTTTCCTACTTCGTCACCCCTCTCCGTCCGTGGCCTACGTTTCGCGCAGAAGTCATCAACATTGTAATGAGGGGAAGATAAAAAGCTGTGTGATTTTTACAAAAGCTTTTGAAGGTAGCTAATATTGGATAAAACGTTTGAGCTTGAGCCGGATTTTGAATGGAGTGTTTTATAATTTCCACCGATATTTTATGCAGGAATAGAACGGAACTTAGAGATGAGAGAGATCTGATCAATGACTCCTGAGAAAGTAATGTGCTCAAGATACGACCGGTTTTGTTCTCCTTATCGAAGTAGGGCTGCATTGAATGTAAAATTCCCTCAAATTAAAAGCAGTTCTCATGTGCTCGAGTTTCTTCATATTCACCCACATACGTCAACTGACCACCTATCACCCATCTATGAGCCCTTTCGCACCCCCATTTTTAAGCACTCTTCAGTGAAGTCATCCGTATTATGTTCCATACACCCCGATCTAGCTTCTGTAATGAACTTTGTTGGCCAAACTTGGTCCGAATGAACCTTTCACTTCATCTGAGTACTGTTTGTATGGGAAACATTCACAGGGAGATGGATGGCCGTGAGACTTCATCGCTTAGTCTTGAAAACGTTGAACTTTATTATTCTAATCAATGAACCATACACGTATCGTGTATGTATCTTCCTGATTAGGCTTACACGACTACGATCGACTTTCACCACGACGGAGAACGGGTAGAATGGAAGGAATCAAAACCATGACGTCGCACTCACCCTACTAAGGGATGAAGGGTCCTAACGCGACTGCCGTCAGCTGGACTACGAAAATTGCTGGAACAAAAACCGTATCCAGCTCACTGAAACCTCGAGAAAGAGGTATTTCATCACCCGTGCATCACATACAGTATGTCGTCTGGAAATCATTTCACACAGGCCTTGCCCAACCTCGCCGATCAACATTTCCTTTTGCGTTCCACAAAATCTGCATCGTTGTTCCGATCTGGTACCCATTTTGTACTTGACAGTTATCTTGACGTTTCCACTATTCCACAGCCAGTAAGGATCAGTTATCGACCTTGACAGTGGTCCAAGTACTCACTGAACTCTTCCTTTGTACTGAACATTGCAGGTAAGATCTCCTCTGGAATACGAAATTTATAGACTTTATAAATGAAACCAAAGAGACCACTTTGCCGCGTTAATATCTTTATTCTTATAGCGTCAAATAAGCCAACCTCACAATCCTCTAGTTGTTGAAGAACATTGTGAGACCAACAGGAATTGCACGAAGCGTGGGAATGTCAGGCTCGATTCTAGCAAATAGTAACGTGGAAAAAGTTTTCGAATTCAAGGTAAAGACTGTAGATATTCACCTAATGATGGTGTTTCGATCAAAGCGCTATGCTTGCGTACACTCGAATGAAAACCTCATCCCTCCGTATTCGCTAGCCGTGGACTTCATTTTGGAAAAGACTGTCTTGTGGAAATACAGGAAAATTCGGATACCTTCAGTCACTAAAGTGATCGGTTGGTACATCATTCAACCATTTCACCAGTGAACAGCAGTAAAGCAAATCCATCTTTTTGATATGAAGTGCTCACCAATTGGATGAATTGGGCCAGATTTCAATTTTGTTTTTCCTTCCAATAATAAGACTTTTGGTTAAGGGTATCCGCTGCTAGGGAATGCCTGACCTTCGGCGTCTAGGATTATCCTTGGGAACTTCCCATTTCGGAGGACTGCCCCGTTGATTAGAAATTCCCATTTGTCCTTCGAATAAAGAAAACAATTCACTCCCATGTCCTTACAATTAGAGGTCAAGGAAGATCGGCTGAAAGNGAAAGTGTTTTGGATGCGCTGGCCCGTCCTCATCCAACTTTTTCCTCATCGAAAATATACTTGTTTAGAGCGGAACCCACCATCACTCCCTGGTCACAAAGCTCACAGAATTACGTGATGACAGTTGCTTTCGTGATGTAACGCTGGTCGCTGAGGTAGGTAAAGAATGTGATGATCGGATCTACCCTAGTGCTAGGTTTTCCAGGGAGTGCGAATCAATGCCCATCGGCTCGTTCTCGCTGCCTATTCAGACTACTTTAAGGCCATGTTCACCAGTGAAATGCGCGAATCTCGGCAGCGTGCGTTCATATCTTGAGGTATGGGTTGCTGGGCAAGTTCTTTTAGTTCAATTTTTCTTTCAGAAGAAATAGAAATGTTTGATGTCGAAGCGCCAGCGCTTGATGCTCTGATCAACTTCTGCTATTGTGGCAAGATACAAATTGACGGCATAAATGTTCCAAGCATGCTGCACGCGGCTTGCCTGCTTCAGTTGAACGAAGTCAAGGTCAGGGAAGTCTACAGCAATTCACTGTGTTCAAGAGCTTTATCTGAAGATTACTTACCTGTCTTAATGAATGCGTAGGAAGCCTGTTGTGAGTTCCTCAAGAAGCAGTTACGCCCTTCCAACTGCCTGAGAGTTAGGGAATTTGCCGATAATCATTCATGTCGAGAACTTGTTCGTTGTGCTGATGACTACATCTTGAGAAATTTCCAGGTAGCCAACTTGATCTCGAGCTTATCGTTCACAGGTCCTTTCTTTCTTTTGTTCAGGACATTATTGCCACTGAAGAGTTTCATCAGCTTCCAGTAAATCACTTGGACCAACTGCTGTCGAGCGATGATCTCATTGTACCTTCGGAAGAGCAGGTAATGCGTCAGTTTTGGGAAAATCTCTGCCCTTTCTTTGTAATGGGTGTTTTTGTCTTCTTGTATTTCATCGACAAGAACGACTCCAGGTTTTCGGTGCATTACTTCAATGGGTTGAGTTCGACTTGTCATCTCGGGAGCAATTGCTCCCAAAGGTAAAAACAGGACGCTTCTTTGGATACCAACCTCTACTCAACGTTTGCAGCTTTTGGAGCACGTACGTTTTCCTCTTTGTCGGCCAGACTTTCTTGTCAATACAGTAACTAAGAATGCGCTTGTGATGGGGGATGCCACCTGTCGCAATCTTGTCGACAAAGCAAAGGTTCGAAGGTTTCGCTAAAAGGTTACTCATAGCAGATTAGTTTCCTAAATTTGTCAGGTGCTGATATTCGCTACGTTTTCAACTGACACAAGTTTTAGGATGATCTAATTCTTCAATTTTCTACCCATGAATGTTCAAATGTGAAAGGGAAGCGCACTCGAGCGTGTGGAGTGGTTTCTGAAGTAATCTATGTTGGTATGAGACTTAACAAAAGTTTTGTGAATTTTTTTGTCTGATTGACACGGAGGTAAAGGTCTTACTGCGTTTTTTCTCTTAACGGCTTCCATATTTTCTTTTCCTTATAGACATCTGTAGAAAGTTAATGCTCTTATTTTGAAATCTGCAACTTCAGTGGGTGGATCACGCGATGGTAGTGTCGAATGCGTGGATCCTGAAGGTGCTAATCCCGTGTGGCATTACGTTGCTCCATTGAACCAGGCAAGGTACAACATTCTTCGAGTACGTACTTACTTACCATCTCGGAAAGGACCAAGTTCTCTAAGGTATGATTGCGGCGTTGCTGTTGTCGACAGGTTCATTTACGCTGTGTGTGGCCGTGATGGGATCAGTGTTTTGAACAGCATCGAGAGGTACTGCTCTTACCTGAAAAGCAGAGCAGCTTGACTAAAAGCTGTTTTCTTGCAGTATTTATTACCTTGGATTCAGTCTTGAGTTAGTATGTGCCCACTATTTCACGAGAAATAGGGACAGACAAAGAACTGCTTTCAATAAAGAACTCAGGAATAAGTAAAAACTAATTCGTCTTTCACGGACTGCACTTTCAAAAAGGTGTGTAGGCGGTTTTGGAGCCTAATCTTCCACAGTTTCAGTTCTGTCGCTAGAACTTAATAATTGTGGTCTCCTTGATGCCATTCGTATAGCCACGTGAGGTTGGAAGGATTAAGGTTTTCTCAATGCATCTCTTCAGATATAATCCTGCCACTGACCAGTGGATGTCTGACGTCGCTCCCTGTCCCACTGGCCGAATTTGTCTTGGTGTAGCTGCTCTTGACGACCATCTTTATGCGGTAGGCGGCTTCAAGGAACATGGACGCCGAGCCCTCGACATTGTTGAGCGGTAAGGGCATGTTTGATCGGCTATTGCATTCACTGAATTCCGCGGTGTCGCTACAGCTATAACGTTCGACGAAATGAGTGGACCTCTGTGGCATCTATGAGTTCACGTCGGACCAATTTTTCACTCTCCGTGTTAGAAGGTTGCCTCTACGCTGTGGGAGGGGCCAACGATGGTTTTGTTCTCAGTACTGTGGAGAGGTAGGTCAGTTTCAATCTAGTGGCACTGTACTGCTCTGAGCAGAGTTGTGGAAATATACTATGGGAATAGTTCATCGATAGCGAAGAAAGCAAAAAAATTCGCCTATTTCGAGAAAAACAATGCGCTTTAAAGTAGGGAAAATCGAGGTTGGACGAGTTTACCATAACGGAAATAAAATCGTATTTGGACGAAATTCCAAAATTTGTCGCAGTTGCGCAAAGAACTGACCATATCATGTAAAATTGTCAAGTATTGCCTCTTACTGTCGCTATGGGTTATAATTGTGTAAACTTCCTATGTAGGTGGGCTTCCTTGTAAATGGTGCAACCTCTGCAATGCCGTTGAAACTCGTCCGGCCTACACGAGTGCCAATCTTCGAACCTTCATAACGCCCCATCTAGGCCGTTTTCCTACCTCTTAGTACCAGATATAGTATACGCGGGGTTCTCAAATTCATCCTCTAGGGAAGCTCAGAAAGCATTTTTATCGTGAACTGTACCTTTAAATTATCATTCACTGGAGTCGTGAACAGTCACACAATCCTCGAAAACCTTTCGAAACTTTCGAAACGAACTTATTAATCACATAGTGCAAGACACCTAGGAATAGTCTTATCTTCTTGATATTCAGAATCAGGAGAGGGGAACGATTATACAGTTTTCCAATGAATTGGCGAGGATTCTTTAAGAGCCGTCCATGGGAGCTGTTATTTTTGTGCTTGTGATGGTCCTACACCAATTTTTTTTTGAAGTCATCTCTGGGTGAATTTAAACAAATGCTAAAATGCATTTGAAACACCCAACATAAAAACCTTTCATATTTCAGGTTCGACCCACGAGTCGGTATATGGGAAAAGGTTTGTCCGATGCCAACCCCTCGAGATAGTCATGCTTCTGCAGTGCTCCATAGCGAATTGTATGTAGTAGGTGGATACAACAAAAGTTCACTCATAATGAGCTCTGCTGAGAAGTACGATCTCCGAACTAATAAATGGACCTTAGTAGCTGATATGAGCTGTAGCCGGAATGGTGTAAGTCAGCTGTACCCTCGTGATGTCTTTTAGTTAATGAGAAATTATGTCGTTTCCAGGTGGGACTGGCTGCAGTCAATGGAAAACTGTATGCTATAGGTGGACTTGGTCATGATTCGGTTGAAGTTTTTGATCCTACAGCGAACCTCTGGGAACACCACAGTAACACAATCGGCAAGTCAGTTTATGCTATGATAATTTGCTCACTTTACAGGCTTTCCTTGTCAAAAAATTCTTTTAGACGTTCCTATACTGGAGTGGCTGTACTACAAAAGCCATAGAAAGCAAGAAAGGAAAAAAGTCTTCCCAAGGGTCGATCTTGTTATCCCTAGATAGAATGAATGGAGACGGCTGACGACTTTTGTTGTTATCTGGGGAATTATGGGCCCTCTTAATCGATGTTTTACTTGGAATAATATTTTTCATTCTGTAGTTTAGAGTCTGGTCTGTACTTCTGTTTCTGCTCAGTGGCTATATAATGGTAAATTGTCAACTGTTAAATTGATAATTTAAACGATTTCATAAAGGAAAAAACGGTAAGCGATCAGAAGGAATGAGCAGTTTCAAGTTCCTCATGAGAAGTTATGCAGACCTGTGGGGAAAGGTCACAACATAGATGAAGCAGAAACTGGCATTGCTTACGGGCTTTATCCCCTCAAATGATAATGGAAGGCTGTTCAGATGATGCGCTTTACTCCATTTACGATTGAGAACCTACAACAAATTGAATGCAAACGACGTCGGAGAATTTAAAGGAGGGAACATGTTGCTTGTCAAACAAAAGTATGAGTGGGAGTATCGGGAGGGTCTCGCTCACTTTTCAAAAAGTCTTAAAAACATTAATGTATGTTGTTATAGAAAGTAATCTTCGGAGGCGGTCACCCTTGTAGGAAAGGTTTTCTACAGAGGATTAATCTAACCGATGGCAGACCCAGCACACTGAGCTCTATATATACCAAGACCAACGTGGATCAATACAGCTTCTCCATCGGAGTGAAAATGGGCCGTTAGGCCAGGCCAAACATTTTTTGCCTCGAGCACTCCAACCTCCAAGCAGAATGCAGTAGGAGAATCCTATTTTTATGCTCTGACCTCGGCTCGAAGCAGTGAGCTTCAATGGGTGTAACCTGGAGTGATCGAACCTTTGCCACTGTACCGCGTTCTGTACCAGTACACGGGATAATTTCGACACAAAAGGAAGAGAGAGAGAGAGAGTAAAGGTAGCAGGAGCGGGACCCTGATGATAGGTGGCATGGTGGTAGTAGTAGTTGAGCTGGACTCCGCACGGGTTAGAAGGGGGCGGTGGATGGAGGGAGGAGGTTAACGTATGTGGTATGAGTGCAATTTATGTAAGCTGGAATAAGTGGGAGATAAACAGAGTCACATGAACAGACAAAACTTGAGCAGCACTCCGTTCATGCCGGAAAGTGAGGTGGGGGAGGAAAGCATGAAGTGTGTCGGGTGTGTATTTGGCCGGAAATCAACTACTGCTGTTTTCATGGACCACAGCGTCCAAATACTAAAATAGTGTAGGCGGCGGGATAACTAAAATACGAAATATACATGCATATGTATAACGAGGCAGAAGCTGGAGGTGTTTGCGGGGATTTCCTCAATGCAAAACTAAAGGGTATTCAAAGTGGTGTTCCTAATTCCTCACAAATGTGAGACTTTTCAAGATGCTTTGAATGAAAAAGATTTTTGTAGCAAGAGGAATAGTGAGCAAGTTACCGAAAAGCATAAGACAGGTTTGAAATCCGTCCCTGACCTACGTTTTGCTCAGAAGTCAGCAAGATTGTGATGAGGGGAAGAAGAAGCTGCGTGATTCCTGCAAAAGCTTACAATGGTACTAATATGGGATAAAACGTTTCAGCCTGAGCTGGATTCTGAATGGAGTTCAGCCAATTTTTGTGATTCTCATCGAGATTTTATGCAGGAATTATAGAAGACTAAAAATTAGAGATGAGAAAAATTTTTAACAAATAAATGACTCCTGAGGAATAATGTGCTCAAGAAACGAGGGACTTTGATCTTCTTAACATCGGAGTATAGTTTTGAGAATGTAAACTTCCTTTTGGTGTGGACTTCCCAAGGAAAAGGATGCCTACAACGAAGCAGAAACTCAAATCGCCTCTGAACGTTCTACCCTTGTCGAAGCTGAAGAGCCGTTATAATGACGCCATCCGATCTTCTGAGTCGGATTCTGTAGAGAGCTTTTGTGCCATACAAATGAGCTTCGATGGCCATAACTTGGTCCCACTGAGTTATGAACCCTTCTTTTCGTCCGAGTACTGTTTGTACGGGAAACATGCACACGTTGATTGGCATTTCAACGTGTAGTCTCGAAGATGCTGAACTATTCTACCCAATGAGCCAAGCACGTGCAATGTACCTTCTTGTCGAGGCTCACATACTGATAGCGATCAACTTTCGCCACGACGGAGAACGGATACAATGGAAGGAACCGAAATTATGACGTCGCACTCGCCCTACTAAGGGTTAAAGGGTCCTGACGCGACTGCCGTCTCACAAGTGCAGCACATACAGTATGCCGTCAGGAAATCATCTGACGCAGGCCTTGCCTAACCTCGCCGATCAACATTTCCTTTTGCGTTCTTTAAAAACTGCATTGCTATCCCGATCTGGTACCCATCCTGTACTTGACAGTCATCTCGACGTTTCCATTATTCCAAAGCCAGTAAGGGTCAGTTATCGACCTCGACAGTAGTCCTAGTGCTTGCTGAACTCTTCCATTGTGCTGAACATTTCAGGTAAGTTCTCTTCTTTAATACCCATTAACTACACATATAGGTCTCAACAGCTATTATGTCGTCTCAACAGTCCCTCACACCTTCAACCACTAATTTATCGCACCAGAGTACGCCACGCTGAAGGTCGACTTTGATTTTTCGCGCGCTTTAATGGCATGGCGTAGTGTTGGAGGTGGGCCATGAATGTGGTGGCTGATGTGGTCCAATACCTGATACAATGCGTACCGCTACTAACATTGATTGAATATTACTCATAAAGTGGCAATCTGAAGTGAATATGTGAAAAATAGCACTTATGTTACATGTGGGGTTGTGTCATATATACGCATAAGGTACTCTACATCCCTTACATATCAATATAACCGTTGGAATAATAATCTAAAGGCCTCCAAAATTTCACACACAAAACAATTTCAGATTTATTCAGTTCATCAAACCACTTATTACCAAATCTTGTATTCGTTTCGTTCAACAATTGTGGCCCTAAAGAGGGCCGTTGGGTTAGATGTGAAGATGTTTGATAGGACTCGCATCGAGAGCTTCTTATCCTCCGAAACCGTACAGAGTACGTCCTTGACGTTTCAGAGCGTAGACAACGTCCATAGCGGTGACGGTCTTTCTCTTGGCATGCTCGGTGGGTGACAGCACCACGGATCACATTCTCAAGTAACAACTTCAGAACTCCACGAGCTTCTTCGTGGGTAGGACCAGGGATACGCTTCACTCCACAACGACAAGCGAGACGACGGATAGCTGGCTTGCTTGGATGCTGTCACGAAGAACTTTGCGATGGCGCTTGGCACCTCCTTTGCCGAGTCCCTTGCCTCCTTTTCCACGTCCGGACATTGCGACGATTGAACAGTAGTAACACTCACGAGTGAGATGCCATCTCGTTCGGACGCCTGCTTATATAGATCTCCAATTGGGTTACCACGTGGGGCCCCCAAAAATCATCGTCATAAATTATTATTCAATAAGTTATATGGCATGATGCAGTTAGATGCATTCCAATTTTTCAATTGTATATCACAATTTATGGGTGTTTTTATCATAAAAAATTATAAGTGACCAGTCGGATCGCCCGGCTAACGCCAGGCTCTCCTCCTTCTTGAGGGTTTGCCCGGCTACGCCGGGCGCTTTCCCTTCCTGTGAGAAATTTG